AAAATTGTTGAGTTTCATGGGGTAGAATTATTGATATATTATTTTGAGTGGAAGATTGGAAAGATGGTTCGGAGAACAGATTCGTGAAATTTTTGGGATTTCGTGGGTTGGAACTATTGTTATAATATTTTGAGTGGAATATGGGAGAATAGTTTGCACGTTAGATTGGCGAAAATTGTTGAGTTTCATGGGGTAGAATTATTGATACATTATTTTGAGTGGAACATTGGAAAAATGGTTCGGAGAACAGATTCGTGAAATGTTTAGGATTTGGCGGGTTAACTATTGCTATAATATTTTGAGTGGAATATGGGAAAGATAGTTTGGACGATCGATAGGGCAAATATATTGAAATTGATAGCTTGGAATTATTGGCATTTTGGATAGAATTGTCAACGATGCTCACGACTGAAAGTTGAACGAGGAAGGTTGGAAGTTAGGTTGGATTAATTTTTGAATTATCGAGAAAGTCTGCAATTAGAAAATTTAGAAAGATATTTTAGATCACAGAAACCTTTCGACATCAATTGCAACCGTAGTTTATAGTTCCGAGAATAGATGACAGCAATCTTTTGAAATCGATAAATTCGAGTTATATTTTAGATTTCCATCAAACACGGAGAAACGCGAGCCAGTGTGCTTCACAAACTAGGAATTAAAGCGATTCGGAAGCGACGAGAAGATAGGCTCTCGCACGATCTACCCCCTTGGTGCTATGATCTCGTTACGCGACACCCTCGGCTGTTAACATCCCCACTGCGTGTACAACAATGATCCCTTCGTCAGCCTCCGATTCGGTATCGTGTATAAAAACACCCGGTGGAGTTGTGCGTTTCTCGTTGTGCACGTGAATCAACACGTGGCCAGAGGCGATGGCCATGGTAATAGGTTTTTCGGAAACTTGTCGATGACGAGCGGATTTTCTGACGAAAATTGTACCACGACAAATGGAAATGGACGATTTCTCATGCGTGTTTTTTTATATTGGAGTATTTTTCCTTCAGATTGGAATTATGGGCTTCAATGAAGATAGGATTTCAGAATATAAGATCACAATAAATATAACTATCACTATTCTATACTACTAGAATATTTGAAAATTTCTATTGTTTAAAATAATCAAACGCCAGATAATAGCAACATTTTATACAAAATATTAAGTACCTACGCTATGTAACTTGAAAACGACACACCCACGCGTTCGCATTTCGTTGATATTATTTTCCCTTATTATTTATCTGTATAAGATAAAACCAAAGATATCTTAGAGAGAGTTGAAAAGATCAGAGTACAGAAGTTAATAATAAAATAAGCAGATTAGTTTTTATTACTGCACTACAAGCAGATTGGTTTTGATGCAGAGCATGCGTGTGAAAACGCGAAGAATATGGTAGGACGCGTGCAAAGAAATGTAAACCCAAATCCAATTTCTAGGTCAAAAAATTTTGAATGCACTAAGATACCAAATTGTTTGTAGTTCTTTATCTCGCTCATATTCCATTCTAAATAGACGTTCTTACTACACTGTATTTCGTGATCCATTTCTTTGTTCCCATCTCGTTTTCGTCCTCGTTGCAGGGACTTTTCTATCGCGCTATATTTGATTTTATTATACCAGCCAGTTCGTGGTTCCTTCCAGATGTTACCCACCTATTGCTCACCTACTAAACCATTTGTACCTTGTATCAACATGCAATTAGTTTATTTATAACGATCGTAATCTTGTTCTCCTACAAATAAATGAAATTCTCTTTAGCCTCTCCTTCGTTAAAAATAACGAATTTATAGAAATAGCAAAAATCATGTCGAAAGGTAAAATACATTTCGAAAAAAGCTACATGTTAAAACATAAAAACAGCAACCAAGATATATAATCAAAATAGTACTTTGTCCAAACGTAATCATTTTGATTATCATTTTGTAAAATAAAAGATGTCCAATTAGTCGGTTGCAATGCAGCAGAAAGTATCGTTAGGTATCTAGGTTGTTTTGCGGTTGTTTATAGAAGGGTGCGGGGTATTTAGGGGATGATATTTAGAGGCAACAGAGAAGGGGTGGCTTTCGATCATGGTATTTCCCGTTACGAACACCCCTCGATGCCAGTATCGATTATACACCCTTTGCCTGCGATACCAGCAGTACAAAACGTGGCCGGGGTGCGTCGAGGGACCGTTTTAATTATCCTCCGAAGTAATTACAAGGGGCCGACGGACTATCGGTCGATAAGTCAAGAATCATTTCACCGATACTTCATACCTGTTCCGTTTCTTCTTCGCTTCCTGTGTATAGAAATACACTTACTCGGCCGACGTAAACTATTGAAACAACAATGGAATACCTTCAAGTTTTCTATTCTTCTTCCTCGAAACGGCTTCTCCTCTTAATTAAGCGTTTCTCCGTATGCGAAAGTTTTAATTACCGCGCTGGATGGAAGTAAAAATTTCGCTGTTTTTATTCACCACGATATCTCTTAAGTTGCAACCAGATGTTTATGAAATTGAACAATCATATTTTAGTATCTTGGAATTTTTATATCGATCTTTCAGATGCTTAAACGGAAGCTTTCTTTAGTTCTTATTCTCGTAACAGCTTACATTAATTAATTCACGATTCGTGATACACAATCTCTATTCTTCGCCATTAATAATAGTAATTAATAATAATATCACAGAGAATAATAAATCAAACTTTCTTCCTCTCCCACCAAACTACCCACAAATCGTTCTACACTCGTTTCAAACTTCCACGGCAAATTTTACCACACCAAAAGCTTCCTCGACTGCCATCCTTACCATCGAAGAAGCACTATCATTGATCACCACCGCGAACGATAATCGAACTTCTCCTTTTAGCTCGATCATTCGTGAACCTCCACTAGCCAATCTATGCCGCACGATCTTTGAATTCGTACACTTTGAAAGAAACAACCCTCCGTACTCGCGACCAAAAAAGCACCGCTAACTATCACAGTGACTAACAAATCAACCTCCCTGTTCATCCATCCGCACTACCCACGAACCAATCTCCGTTCCACAACTTCAAACTCGCACAGAATCCTGTCCAAACCGAAACCTTCCTCGACTTTCATTCTCGCTACCGAGAAATCCAACCTCAAACTCCACGCTCTCGCAACCCTCTCAAACCTTCACGACTTCGCCAACTTCTGCCTCCTACCACCATCTTCCCCAAAAAGGAGGGAAAAAACGAAAGAAATAAAAAAGAAGGCAAAAGTAAAAGGAGGACGAAGAAAGATGCACGACCACAATGTCTCGTTACTTCGCGACGATATTCACCCCCTGATCCACGACGTGTACACGTACATCTACGATGTATAACGGATGCAGCGTGCAGAGGGGCGATCGAGGGCGACGAAAAAGCGGGACATGTGCGAAACTAAGGTGACAGGACGGATGGTAGGCGTACGTAAGGACAGACGTACAGACGGCCGATGTCGATGGTGGCAAACTCGCGGAGGCACGGAGGAAGATGAGGTCGGAGGTAACCCGACACCTGGCCGCACCGAAGGTAACGTGAGAGCCCCTTTACCCGCCTCTGTTCCTTTTCCTACCACCTCTTCCAGCCTCCTCGCCGGCTGCTCGTCCTCCCGTGGCCACGATCCATCCTCTCGTAGACTCATCCGCGGAACCGTGAATCCATTGGAAGGACAGAGACGAGCTTACGCTTCTTCGTCGTCCCTCTTCTACCTTCGTGAAACAGTCCCTCCGAGGTTGGGAGGCGCGGGAGAACTCAATTATGTCCCACGGGGTGAAGATTGACGGCAGGCTTTTTTGCCTGCAACCTTTATTACGTAGGTAATTAAGTAGCCAGACTTTTGGATGACTCGAGGATGGTGGTTACGTTGGATCTGAGAGGTGGTTAATTTAGGGTGGTTTTGCCAAGGGATGTTGAATTTTCTGGGTATTTGTCGTATAGTATGACAACGATAATACAATGTCTATTGCGGTTCCAGGACTTGGTTTAGTAAGAACACCTTACGATTAGTCTTCTCTCCAATCTTGCAATCTTACCGCGTACCGTGATGCTTGTTGTATGTATGGATGGATCGCAGTTTTTATGGGAATTTGTATTTTTGTAAATACCTAGTTACGTAAATAGGAATTCAAGCAGAAAATTATTTCATCCATTGAATTAGTATTCATAGCGTCTATTTCTATAGTCGGAGAGCATTGTCTTTTTCGCGTTCAGTGAGTAATTTTAGTTATATGGTAGTTAGGACTACCGTCTATACTTTGCTATGTCTATGGTGATAAAATTTTGTTATAAGATCAGTTAATTGGCGCGTGGAATTGTTGCAAGAGAATATGTTGACGGTGGAGCAGGAAGTTAGAAAGTTAAGTTAGTTTCCTAAAATTCAAGAAACATTATTTGTTCTTAACGATGGTTAGACTAGCAAGAAGTGTTTTACGGTCATTGAAGAGGCAAAACGATAGATTGCTTCGTCGTTTCTCATCGTTTTCAGACAGCATTAAGTTATATCGTGTGGTAGAACTCGTGTCTAATATAGTATTTATAAATACTGAAATCATGAAATATAATAACAGTGGCGTATAAACAGTCGTAACATCTCTTTCGCGTTTCTTCCTTAAGAGCAACCTTGGTTTCCTTTAATATATTATACTAATTCAATATTTATCCTTCATTATCGGCGTGTCTTATGATTTTCTATTAAAGCTGTTTTACAATGCCAATAAAACATCGATATTCTACGCCATGAAAACACAATTTAGATACAGAAGTCTCGAGCAAGAACTCTATTAACCCTTTGCACTCGGAAGACTCCGGCTACGGCGCCGTGTATTATTATAAAACATACGTTCAGGATGGGTAGGTATTGCTTTAAGGCATTGGATGGTATCCAATGATACGCGATAAATATATAAAAGGAAGAATTATATTTTAGTTAGATAGGGAGAAATATTTTTCCATTCGTTTCTGGATGCGTTTTGCATCTTGAAAGAGAAAATCGAGGGACGTAATCATTTCTCTGTTTTTCACACGCTTTCGAAGTCTTATCGATATTCTTCATCGTTTTGGAACATAACAGTAACTTAGAATCACTTGGTCATTCCTCGATCATTAATTTACCGAACACTCACAACCTCAATAATCTCTGGCATCGCAACGTCTCCTGCTCCTCGTTTTCACCGACAGACAACCGATTAATAAGAATGAACAATATTCTACGTAAAAATGTGTTACTCTGTCCTCCTGCGTTGTTCATAAAATCCTACAGCGCTCCATACCGCATCGTAAAACACCAAAGTCAGCATCACCAAGAACCAACTTGTAAGAGAGCAAGTGTAAGACTAATAACAAACAAAGGAAGAAGTATCTCTTAAAAGTTAACTTGTCATCTCAATATCCACAGTCCGGTTTATTACAATGCATCAGAGGCCGTCGCTATATCTTCTCTAAAAGCGAGTGCACGACTAACCAACGAGTCCAGACCTAACGACAGAGAGCAAGTCTAAAACGAACGACGACAAAGGAGGAAAAGAGTTTGCCTTGAGAATTAAGTACCGATATTACCCTAACTAGATGTTCTTCATAAAATTCTTCACAAAAAAAAAAACGGTTTGTCATAAAACACGAAAGTTCGCCACTATTTTTACTTATATACGTCATACTTTTATTTTATATTCTCTGTAAAAGAAACTGCGCGATTAACCGTCGAACGCGTCTAAACCGAACGACAGAGAGTACAGGAAGCTTCCTAAGCTAAAACACCAGCGTTCCAGCGCTGTTCCTCCGTCCTCGCCGCTTAAGCACACTCTCTCTGCCTCGTCGCGTGACACTTTTTCCTGTGGCACCGAGACGAGCTTCCTCCGTGCGACTTTTCTGTCTGCCGTCCACTTCTTCCATCCTGCTTCTGCCCTCTCAACCGTCTGTCTCGTCCCACCGTCCTTTCTCTCTATCGTTCACGTATGTATCTCGATTCTGCAAGTGTGAGGGGATGTCGCTGTGTGGCCGATCTTACGTACCGCGGAGCATGTACACGGCCGGGATGTAAGTACGTACCTACCTACGCCCAAAGGGATTGAATTACCCACCGCGAGCCCCTATGTGGCAACTCTCTTACTTAACCTACCGTCGGGAACTGTATCGACACATTTTTCTTGAACGGGGTGTCCCGCAAGCGGGCCAAGCCTCGACTATTACACAGGCCGGACCTTCCCGCTTGTATGAATTTTAACGATCGTATATGTGCTCCTCTCACCAGGCTGCGCGATTGGCTTTCGATCGGCTCTCGGTTAGCGAGAAACTGGCTTAGAAACGAGAGGTGGCCGTGCGACAGGTGCTTGAGATGTGGCAGAGGATTGCTACGAAGGTAGTTTAGTTTTGCGCATAGGCGCATGATCTTGGAAATTAGATTCTTAAGACTTGGCAGGAATTTTCCGTTAGAATCGTAGGGGTTGCGATGTAGAGGAAGTTGCACTTTGCAGTGATGGGAATAAATCGACAAGCAAAACGATCAGGATTAAATCACTTTTTTCAAGCATCTATCGTTAGCTACTATTCGTAAGTAGCAAATTCTGCGCTTTTTTCAATATCGAATTTACATACGTCCAACAAATATAATTGAAATATCGAAGCTGCCTCTTCTTCGTTACTGCAAATCCTTCGATTCATCGATAGGAAATTATCGATAGGAGAGTATTGACTTTTATTATACTACAGGTTAAAGCGTCTAGTATCTAACTATCAATCCGTCGGCGACTGAAGAACGTTAATACTGCGAAACATTTGTAAGTTTGGTTTCAGTTCTGCTTTATGTGTGCGAACTATGTGTAAAACCAAGTCCTATCATCAGGCTGAAATAAATAAGTACGGTACAATATCCTGGAACATCAAGTTGTACGTATCGTTTCTTTCCAGAAACACGAGTGTTATTTCTTCGCTATTCTTAATATTACGTATTTTCTTCCAAAATCCATAAGACATAGGATATAGAAAGAAACATATACGACACTAAAAAAATACAACAACTTTAATACGTCTGCGTTGCAAACGTTCTAACTCGCCCGTTACCCTTACATTCCCAAAATACACCTAACTAAAATTAAAATACCTGAAACCAAAGCAGCGCAAACCTAGCCCCGGCCAAGCCTCAAAATTTAAAGAAGTATTCCATTATACACGGCGAAGGAAAACGAGAAGCGTGGAGGCAGACGGAAAGCCCGTGCGCGGGCAGGGGAATGGGACAAGCCGGGTCAGACTCGTTACCCAGCCAGACGTCCTAATCCCCTAATTGTAAGACGAGCCAAACAGAGCGCTACGTTTTTCGGCCGGGTCTCCAGTGTGTAAGTAGTAACTGCAACCGAGAGAAGGAGAAAAGACGGCTAGTTTACACGGATAGGAGAACCAGCCTCACTTGGTTTGGACTTACGAAAGACAGAGACGGGGTTCTAGGACTTTATAAGGGAGGAAAGTGGATAGAGAAGAACGACGAAGGAAGCTCGAGTCGACACGGTGCGCCGTGTACGTGCAGCAAAGACACTGGTGGAAGAAAAGAGAGATAGAGAATGAAAGGAGAGCGCGAAGGGAGAAGGTTGGAGGAGAAAAAGGTGGTGGAAACGAGATGGTCGAGGCACACGAAGGAAGCTCGCCTTGCATGGCGGCCTCGAGTACCTACCGACTCCCACTGACTGGCTGCACCATCGCCATCGCCTCCACCTTCTTTGCCCCACCTCCTACCTGCCTATCCTCGACGCGTATCCTGCACCTTCAGGGTGGCGTCACGCTCAAGACGCTTCCGGTGTTAAATTACTCGGTGCCTCTCTCTTTTTCGCTCTCCTCCTCCTCCTCCTCCTCCTCCTCCACCTCCTTCTACCCCTCCTTCTCTGCTTCTTCTCTTCGGCAAACTTCTTCACCTCCATCACGGTTCTCTCCTCATCTCAGCGTTTTTGTCTCGATACTCCCTTCCTTGGTTTTCATCTTTTTTATTTTTTCCTTCTCTTCTATTTTCTTGTTTCTTCTTTTTTTATGTTTCTGCTTTGCTTCGTGGCTTGCCGAAGTCTTTTGTTCCGAACTTCGGCAGCCAGGGTGCAGACCTTCTTCAGTGGTCCTCGCGTCGCTATCAACGAAGGACAGAGTGTTTAGGGAAATTGCGATTCATATCGTGGTGCGTTTCGAGTTTTGCAGTCCAGGATGGGATTTTCTGGCTACGATTCGACGGGTTTGCTGATGTAAATGGATCTTAGATTGGATTTGGGCTGGAATCGTAACATCGTCCGTTCGCGTGCAATTCGGCGAACGTTGGGCTTACCGAATTTTCTATTTGATATATCGCGAGCGAGATGTTTTATCGTTAACCGAACGCACCCAGCAGCCGGGATCTTGCGCTGCTTGGATATCGAAGTTTATTACTTTCTAGATGAATTTGAAACTTTTCAGGGTGAAGTACTGATTATCAGTAGACTGAAAGGAGTCTTGTTTCTGAGAGAAAATTCATGTATACACCTCTACACTGGTAGAAGCATCGAGCTTTCCTCGAACGTTCTTAACTAACGACGTAAAAAGACAAGAATTATCACAGCACAGCATCATAAAACATAAATCCAAACAGAAATTCAAGAATCCTCGACGCTCGAGTCTACGAGATACGAAACAAAGCCTGTTTATCACCAACATTGCTCTCCGACGCATTGATCCATCCACCACCCCCTAACGATACCCTTCGTTGCAACGTTACCGATTCAAGCCAAATTACCAAGTCCATTACCCTCGCTGAACATCCCTTTGACGAACAGCGCAGAGATCGATCTTCGTGCGACCGATGCCGAAAACAGGCGACGTGTGCGGCACGCTTTCGAACAAAGAAGACTCTTCTCTCCCCTATCACGAAAGAAACGTTTCGTTTACAAGTGTAGCAAACAGATCAAAACAAAAAGGGGATCTTTCAATCGCGCCTTTCGTTAACTTCTGACGTTCGATAACGAAAGCATCTGAAACACAGATCTTCCCCCTTTCGAAGGGAAATCATCTACGATGAAGACGCGATACGGATGGACCGGTGTCCTAGACGACGAGTATCCTCAACCTCGAAGCTGTGGTCTTAACGAGCCGGATCTCACAACGTAAATTACAAATAATAAATATCCGGGCCGTAGGTTTATCGTGGCCGAAAGATCGGGATTTTAGGATCGGATAGGGCGCCGCTGTTCGCCGCGATGTGGGCGGGCATCGGGGCCCTTCTACGGGGGCCCCCCACTGACACAACGCCGCGTGGTGCCCCTCGCTGTCTTACCTGGCCGTTTCTCACCCCTCGTCACCTCGAAAAAACAATACTGCCAACGACGAACACCTGACCAACGAGAAACGGTCCCGCTCGATCTCGTCACTCCTGTTGTCGATTTTTCAATGCACCGGCTCCTGGACCCCGTGCCACCTCTAACTGAGATGTAGATACCGTTGTTTTCCTATGGACAAGACTGTTCGTGGGACAACGATACATTTGTATTTTCTTCTTTTATTTCGTGTTTTTTCATTTATCGTCTTGCGGTTTTCTTTTCCTACTCGCAGATGAATATCTTCGAAAATAATGATAATAATCGGAAGTTGCAAAGGTTTAGGGAAAGTGGAGGATTGTGGGAAGAATTGAGGCAATTTTGGTTGATATAAATTGCGGTGGTAAATTAGGGATCTGTCGTATCCGTTATTTAATATATTTTAATTAATCGTCCGAAGAAATTCCCCGTTACTTCTTTCTTCTTGTTATCAGTCGCTAAAATTTTCACTCGAAAGTGGTGGTAGCACTATGATTCCAAATCCTATAATTTGATACATCCAATCAATACTTACGATCGTTAATATCTTCACCAGACTGTCTGTAGAGAATCTAAATATCCGAAATGCAGTATCGTATCATATCGCACCTAATATCGTCTAATGAATTTCGAATCGTTCTCAAGTTATATATATAAATTTGCTGCTCATAAATTTGCATAAATACATATATCCCGGCGTCTATATATCGTCACTATCGCGTCGTCATAACGGGACAAAAATAAGATTGCCAGCCGTCAAGGACCGAGAATCATTTCCCACAGTCGTTCCTCCGAGGTGCCATAATATCCTCGATTTGGCGAAGAGCGACGGCCTGTTATCGAGATCCCTGTGGCGCGTCCTTCTAATCCATCGAAATTAGCATTATCCCCGTAGCGGATACGTGGGTGTGGAACAGGCGGCCCCGACGTGTGATAACTTTTCGACAGTGGACCGGACGAACACACGAAAATACGTACGGACGATGGACGAGAAATGGTTAAGAGTAGGAAGGGAAGAGCGAAGCGGCGAGAAAAGGAAGGAGAGAAAGAGAAGAGGACGTTTTACACGCATTCACGGACGCACGCGACGCGCGGCACGATTCACGAGACAGCAGACGGCTTGGTGCGTGTGCCCGGTGCACGTCGTTGCGTGCGTGTAAGCGGCTGTGTGGGTGTCACGGGGTGGCCACCTGTCTAGCGAGGTATGCGCCGATAGCATCACCAGAGAAAGAGAACCAAACGGAACGAACGCCCAGCGCTAAGCAAAGACAAGGGCGGTAACTCACCCCGACAAATTATAGAGTGGCCAGACAGCGCGATTCTCTCCACCTCTTTCTGTCTATTCCCCACCACCTAACCAAGTTTCTTCTCTCTTTTCTCTTTTATTTACAACTATGTGTGTGCGTGTGTGTGGGTTTTTCTGGCGCAGTTGTTTCGTGCTTGTTTGTTCGGTTGACTATTTTTTCGGAAATATTTGATCGTAGAATGCTTTGGCTGAACGGTTTCTCCTTTTTTTCTTTTTCTTCTTTTTTTATTTGTATGTATACGTACGTGGGAAATATTGGTTCCTTTAAAGAGAACTTTAAGATCGGCTGGAATGTTTAAGATTCCATGTATAGTGGAAGATTGGATCTATCTCGGATAATCCAAACGTCAGATAACACGAAAAGGTTTCTTAATGTTCATAAATCGTATAATAAAATCGTGTTGGCAATGCAATGTTGTACGTATATTTAGGTTTAATTAATTACTTAATCCATTGGAATTTCGTTCAACTGCTTTCACGATATCTGACTATTTGCGCTTTCGTACTCTTCCTGTTAAAGTTTCGAAAAAAATTAAGTTATCGTAAGGTACAAAGCGTCTCGGATAATACGAAACTCCGGTTAACCGGACCGCGGATAACCCAGACTCTACTGTAATTTTTATATAATTTTATAAAACATGTTAGCACATGTCCTTTCTGTTACTTCGTATTTAGAAAAGTTGCCAGGTCCGGAATTGAAAAATTCTTTTAACGCTGTTTTTATTCGGTTCTTGATAATCTTTAGTAGACTTTATCTAGATAATCTTTTAGTAATGTTTGGTTAATCTCTTTTAAGGATTTATCGCCAATAAAACCTTGCTACCTTAAGATGAGTATATTGGAATAATCGTCCCAAATATGTAATGAATGTTAAGTAGAATGGTTCAAGCGATAGTTAAGTGTAAATGATGATATGGTAGCTGGATGATCGAATCGAAGGATTTAAATGGTAAGAAGGTGTGAAAGAACTGCGCGAGCCGCCAGTGGCGTCATTTATGGTAAATGGGTCATGGTTTTGCGACGGATAGATTGCGAAATTGTGGCAGTTCTTTGAACTTTTCTTGCGGTGAAGGAAACCGATATTTCAAGCGGCCGTATTTAATTATTGATATTACGCCGCGGTGAATGCGACAAGCCAGCAACTACCGCCAGACGTAGCCCTAGATTTCTTTGCTAAAACCTACTCGAACCACTGTGAAACCAACGACTGATCTTGTTGAATGTATTTGTCAACTTTTATTATTTTGAAGAATAGGAAAAAAAGCGTAGATATCACGGAGACTCTTATTGAAAGTTTACTTTGCAACAGTAGTTTAGTGAATTTAATTTGAAATATTTTAGGACAGTAATATAGCAGTGCGTCATCTATCTGTTTAAGAAGCTAAACGTTAAATAAATATTTATATCTTATTATATTATATTATATTATATTATGTTAATTTATCATATTGTATTATAATTGTATTATAATTGTATTATATTGTACGATATTGTATATCTGATATATGTAGAAAACTGTACAAAACACTGTTGCTTAACAGTAAAGGAGAGAGATATAAGGAATATTTTATCAGAAACTGTCAATATCTAAATTTATTTTCGTCTACTACAAACATTATATTCCTCTTTCTACGGATAATAGAAATTAATGCTATTGGAGGCATAATAAAAATTAAATTGAATTAAATTACATTATTGGGTATATGTATGAATGTGTATGTATATGAATGCATTGATGTGTGTAAATGTTTATATATATATATATACATAGTGGATATCTATAATCTCTTTTGCAATAGGCTGTGAGCCTGAAATACAAATAAACAACAAACTACTACGAAAATTTGATTTCAAACCAGTTTACAAGAAATTTTTCTTTCAACCAACGATATATATTCTACTACCAAAAGTAGAATTTTCTACAAAATATCACCGATCAGAGTTGCTTGAGAAAAGAAAAATCGAACTAGAAGAATAGAAAAAAGAAGAAGAAATATCCACGGGAGACGTTCGGTACGAGACAGCAAGGCTGGTTTCCATTTGAACTCGTAGCATGATTGGACGTAGTTAGTTCGGGACCGAGGCAACACGCATCCCAAACTTTGATTAAACGAGTCGCAGGGACCTGCAGCCCGACTCATTTGTCTGCCGTCTGCCTCTTCCCTCTTTGCCTTCTCTGCTCCTCTTCCTTCTTCCCTCTTCCCTTTCCATCGTTCCTACCCTATCTTCGTGATTCCTCCACCGGTACCAAGAATCGTAACGATTCCTTGAAATTCGCCCCGCGAGGGTGGTCGAAACTTTCGGTTGTTCGCTGTTTAAAACAACGGCTCGCGATCTCTATCTATCGCCCTGTTACCCTGTATCGATCACGCGTAAGGATTCGAAGAAAATCGCGGTTACCTTCATTGAAATCGTCCGTATTTTGGAGAAGTTGAGGGAAATGTTTGCTTCGTGGAAAGCGAAGAGAACGAATACTTGTGGGGTGGAAATATATAATTATTTCTATACGCATAATCTCTGGATTCTGTTGCAGTAAAAGTGTTTTGGTGGTTTGGAGAAGTTGGAAGAAGCGTTTGTTTTACGAGAAATGACTAAGAAGGAAGTTCAAACAATTTCCAGTATGCAAAATTATATGCGATATGAAAGGATCGAATAGATATGGACATATTGCACTACTTAATTATATATTAAACGAATCTTTTCATAACAACCGAACTATTAAACACAACGCTACTAAAATACATCCAATTAGTCACCCACGTCATTCAAGCAAAATCTCATAAATTCCAAGGATCTCTGACATCCTTCCATCAATGCCCGAAGTACTAACTACAACTACATCATACAAACATGCCTAAACGTAACGACATAAATGATAAACCGTCGTCCAAACCCGGCACTCATAAACGCCACTAAACTCTGAAATCCCTCGATCGATCTCCTTCGAACCAAACTTCTTCAACCTCCTTCAAACTCCTTCAAACTCCATCAAACAAGTATCCCGTTAAAGTGTCGTCGTTTACAGCTTCATACTTGGACGATGCATCTCCAAGCTAATAATTTTCTAATTCCTTTCTCCAGGCGTCGCTTGCCACGCTTGTTTCTGTATAAACGAAACGAAAGCCATCTTTCCCATAAACCTTTCGATACAAAAGGCAAAGAGTGACGTATCGATGAAAAAAAAATCAAGCGAGTTTATCATGTGCACGAGCGATTTCCTCCGCTCGCAAGCTTCACGTTCTTCCGCGTGCTTGACCGACTCTCACGAGTTACCTTGCCCGATTCATTGCCGGTTAGCCGAGATAATACGATAATCACTGAAAAATCCTGTTGCATCGAACAGGGCGACGTTTTGCTCGCAGGCCAGACACCCAGTCAGGTTTGCCAATGGTCGTCAATGATTCGACGCGCGTCTAGCGAAACCGATTACCGTTATCGATGGGCGCTACGTGTATGGAGATGGGTGTAGACGAATGCAGCGGGCTGAGAGGACGCGAAACAGGCATTCCGTAAACGGATAATGGTACGCCACCTCCGCTTCTACACGGCCCTATTCCCTTTGGAACATCTGTATGGAAGCCGTCTGCGGGCCGTGGATGCCGGCGATATCGGGTTACTAACGTCATCGTTGCCGATGCGCTTCGAACAGAGGGACTACGAGCGACGAAACAGAAGGACAGGGACAACCAGGACCACACACGGACCGTTTCCACGGGTGCGAACTACCGTCGACGCGTCCTACGTCACCAGCCTCTTCGTCAAACGCGGCCGTTGGTTGTTGTCGATTGATGTTTGTTCTGGGCGGGCTAACTTTTGCGCTAGGTCGTGTCTTGGATGAGGAGTGTCCATGGTCAAGCTGATGGTTAGTGTGTGTTCTCGATTAAATAGTTACTTTGTTTACACTGGTTTTGAAATGCAGGAGGTTCAAGAAGGTTAATGGTATTATCATGTTGGAGGTAATTGATCGGCGTTTGTTCTGAGCGGGTTAACTTTTAGGTTAGGTTGAGTCTTAGATGAGGAGTCTCTATGGTGAAACTGATGGTCAGTATATGTTCTTGATTAAGTAGTTACTTTGTTTACATTGATTTTGGAATGGAGGAGATTTAAGAAGGTTAATAGCATTATCATGTTGGGCATGGTTGATCGACGTTTGTTCTAGGCGGGTTAATCTTTGGGTTAGGTCGTGTCTTGCATAAGAAGCGTTTTTGGTGAAACTGATGGTTAGTATGAATCTTTGATTAAGTAGTTACCTTGCTTACATTGATTTTAAAATGAAGAGCGTTTGAGGAAGTTAATGGTATCATCATGTTGGGCATGGTTGATCGACGTTTGTTTTGGGCGGGTTAACCTTTGGGTTAGGTCGTGTCTTGCATAAGAAGCGTTTTTGGTGAAACTGATGGTTAGTACGTGTTCTTGTTAAATAGTTTGCTTACACTGGTTTTGAAATGCAGGGGATTTAAAAAGGTTAATGGCATTTTCATATTGGGCGTGGTTGATCGGTGTTTGTTCTGGGCGGGTTAACCTTTGGGTTAGGTCGTGTCTTGGATGAGAAGTGTTTTTGGTGGAACTGATGGTTAATATAAATCTTTGAGCAAGTAGTTGGTTACATTAATTTTAAAATGGAGAAGGTTTGGGGGGGGGGGTTTATGATATTATCATGTGGACCGAGCTTAATTACTATTGTTCGCGTAGAATAGGAATTTTTTGAGTGATTTACACTGCAGAGGAATGTTCTGACTAAATATTTTGTGCAGTTAAGTAAATTTTGAAAGAAAGAAGATTAAAAAGAGTTTCTTGGAGGTAGGTTACTGATATTACAACGTTATATGTTACTGATCGATGTTGGTCTTTTCCGTTTTAATTTTCCGGTTATTAGTAACAAAAGGTGAAATCTTCGTTAGAATTATTAAACAGATACGTAGATTTAATTCCTGCAAAGCGCAAAAGATTTAAAGAGCGTGTATTAACTTTTCCTATAAAACAGTGATGTCTTTGTTGAAATTCTTCGTCAATAAATAACATTATTTCATCTCTTTTCCTCTCTTCACACACCAAACAAGCTTCCAAAAACCTTCGCACCTCTACATAAACATATTCCTCCTCGTACCTTCTACTCGCAATTAGCAACACGGAATCACGAGCGATTCGTGCAGATCGAAACGGATCGGGGACGAGCTGTAGCGTAGTAGGTGCAAAGATACGGATACCGTGTCAAAACAATGCTACCACCGTTTGGAGGAAGGCGCCACCGGAACTATGGCCCGGAGGAAGAAGAAACCCTGAGCGAATGGCCGTCGCGCGACCAGAAACACGCGAGAAAAAACAAAGGAGGGACGTGTATACGATTTCCTACCGGCGATAAACGTCCCGAACCTTGGCAGGATGGTTTCGCGTGACGGAAACATGCGAGAAAACGTGCATACATGCGTGTCTTCTCGTGGGTCGACGGATCGCGTCGCATAAAGTAGGTGGATATGGCTGTCCCGGCGAGCAAGCGCCTCGTAGATAAGCAATTACGATGGAATCCGTAGATAAGGAGACAAATTCGAATTCCAAGATTCGGGGCTCTGATAGGATCGACACGATGCCTCCTCTTCTCTCTTTCTCTTCCATTTCACCCTTTCTACTTACTTTCTTCGTTCCCACGAATGCGTCTCTTCTCTCTTACTATCTGCTGAGCCTCGGGTCCTGTGCTCGTATTTTCCAGCTAAGAATTCACCGTGTCCTCGTGTACGAGCAGCGTAACTATCGTCATTCGAAATAATATTGGGTTGGCAACGAAGATTTTGACAAAATCCGCGATCACTCAGTTGCCAACCCGATAGAATCCTCTGAATGTGCTGTTCGTTCAGGTACTTAGGACATTAGGTACAGCTTGAGGAACGTCACGTGGTTGTTCTTCGTGCTGATCTTCGAACAAACGTGACCTTCTGCGAAAGAGGAAGACGAGATATCTTGTTGTATCGTGGAAGTTTAACGAGGTGGAGGAAGTTTAGTGCCGTAATTCCGCGTGATATGTTGTACGAGCATAGTACATAGTAATTTGGTACAAGTTCGAGAAAATATAATTTGCAATTTTTGTTTGAAAGTGGATTATGTGGCGCCATTTACGAATTTTGCGTTTAAAAACTATAGGATCCAGCAACCTCTGGGAAAGTTACTTAACCGTCTTGTTAGTAGACTACGGAGATCTATGCAAATTCATACTTTAATGAATAGAATCTAAAGAATAGAAGCTAGGCAAAGATTCTTTTCAGCCATTAAGTATCATAAAGAGTACCATACTTTGCGTATCTTATATATCTTTGCACATTGTGCATCTTGAAATTTCCAAATTCACAATCTACATCATTACATCGTTTTCATATAATCCACCGTATCTGTTGCTCGCAAACTTGAGAAACTTTCGCACCACAATACACAAATATACAGAATATCTACCCATTAGTCTTATATCGTTTTTAAATAATTCACCGTATCTACTATTCCCAAGATTAAGAAATTTTCGAACCTCAAACACACACACACACATACAGTCAAAAATAGCTGCAAAATGCACAACTTACCCATTGGACTTGCGCGATTTTTCAATAATTCACCGTATTTATCAACCGAAAATTAAGAAATTTTCGAATCACGAAATTCTAAACCGATGAAAAACAATTCACCGCCGACTGTCCGTATACGATAAATGATCGGTAAGAAGCGACAAAGTGGGCTGCAAAGAGCAATGCGTTTTCCCCGATATTTTCCATCTCTGTGTTCCAGCGTATCGATATCGTTCGACAACTATCGAAACGCAGGAAATCGAACGTCATGATACGCTGTTATCACCGACCACGTTTCGCGGTTACCAATACACGAAGAACAATGTGCACACGCGTGGGTACGTGGTCCGCGAGTACGTTTACATAGGCAGAGGAGAGTACAAACGTATCGCGTTACGATGGAGCAACGCCCATCGGTTTCGGATAGCAGAGAACGCACACGAAATCGCCTAGCCACGTCGAGCAATACGCGAAACGCTTCGCGTAGACACGGGCCAGGGTTTTGACACAATCGGCACCGATTGCCACTTTGATGCCGGCCGGACTAGCGTGACAGTAACTACGCCGACTTTTAGGTAGCTTTACACGATTCGCGCTCGTCGATCCTTTGAACGATTCGCTAGTATAGAATTCCACGGCTCGTAGATATTCGTATATCGTAGTTAATATTTGTGAAAGTATTGAACAGAGATCGGTGAAAGTTGATAAAGAAATATATACAGTGGCATGCAGAAAAAGTATTTGTACACCATTGTATCTGTCACAGCATTCATATAGATACTATTTAGTTAAGTCGATGCATATATTAAGTTTCAATATCGTTTCGTATTATGTACGACTATAAACTATTTAATACTATGAAACGTGCGATCTGATGACAATATTAATAAGAAGAATAATTTTTGTAATCAGGTTATTTAATAATTCGAAGAATGTTCGTCGTTTTTCTTTTGACGTTCGTAAGATGTCGAAAGATCTTTGTTGATAGAAATTGTTAACATGGGATCATTATAGATTATTTCTATAGATATACATTGTTTAGATGTGCGTTTAAGAAACAATGTATCGTTCCGAGCAATCAGAACACCTCTGTCATTTTCATTTTTATAATCGCTTCTTCCGTATATATCTGTTTTTTGATTATTATCTTCGAATCAGTTGTTGTTACAGTATCATCGAATACATCCAGATTCATCGAGCACGGTTCTTCTCTTGTACTTGCTTCATCGGTAAATACCATGAAACGAATCATTTTCTCACAATTCTCTAATTATTTGAAACAGTGTAACATGTGTATTATAAGATCGTTTATAATATCAAAGTTTCCTTCCTGGTATCTTACAAAGGTACGTAGTTTTATTATCCAGAACGATTCTGTGGAATAATTCGTTTTCTCATTTCTTAGAATATACTAGGACAGCTGGATAAGTGAGTCATTGAAATTATCGTCGAACTTTCTGGGAAGTTTCAAATGAATTAGGAATCGACGTGTTGTGGAAAGACAGGGAAACCGGAAGTCGAAGTTGTATCGTGAGATTTATAGTCTTCCGAGTCCGTCTCGTTGCTGGCTCTTGCTCGATACCCGCCCCGCCCACGAACGGCAGTAGATTACGCGGTTTTTACACCGTGAAGCATCCCGTATGTATTCCCCTAGGCGCACAATTTATCGATTATACAAACAATAAGGAAATCGTCGAGCGAACGAGATGTCGAAGAGCAGCGAGAAATGGTTCCGCTTTCTGCGATAAGGTTCCTCTTCTTCCTACCTCCTTTCGTTCTTATTCTCTACGCACAAAAATCTTCCTCCGTTATTATTCCTTCTTACGTGTAAATCATTCCCATTCTTTCGAGACGATCGGATCTAGAATCTTAGAAATTGAAATTTAAGACTGACGCATACGGTATAGAAATGGATTTATCTGGATGAAATTTTTAATAGATACTCGATTACCTGAACTTTTGCTGCTTCAATTCGTTTATCTGAATCTAACCTCCTACTATACGAACGAAACGTATTATAGCACAGTAGTTTATTCGTTTCGGCTTATTAGCTTGGTTAGGTTTATTATATTATATATTATAATATATTATATTAAGTATATTATAATATTATTGTATTAGGTTGTCCGAAAAGTTTTTTTCGTTTCATAAGGTGATAATAGATGAGCAACAATTTCTGTTTTATATTATTTTATTGAATTGGATATTATCCATGTTGTTATTTCTGTATTCAGAAGTAGGATCACAATAGCTATTATTTTATTCTCTGGATAAATCTATCACACCGTTCAGAGCCGAAAAATCTTTATCGCACTTTCTTACACGGACTAGGGATAAAAACAAAAGAACATCTTAAACCTATCGACTAAATCTATCGATTGTATCTAGAACTATTTTCTAGTTACTATTTATTGTAACTAGCGTATCTGCATATAGATGGCGAGCACGAACTCGTGTTGTTATTTTCAACAATTCATTTCGTTTTATTTCTATTATTAAGTTCGTGTATAATTCAATAAAGTGATATAAACAAAAACATTGTGCGTGTATTACTTCTTTATAAAATGAAAGGAACTTTCCGGACAGCCTAATATTATATGATATGTATATATACTATCGCCGAACCTGTGTTACATAATTGTTATAATAATAACTTACTTCAGAAAAATAGTAGATATTGTCGATGATTCAGACCAATTTCAAAATATCGCTGTCTCGTCCGATTTCCCTGTCGTCTCTCGCACACCAATGATACGAAGAAAATTCAGTTAAATCCCTCGGGCTTGCGGCCAGACCAGATAAACATTGGCAGATTATGATATGATAGATTTCTCTACTATTCATGACGAAATTTTCTATAACTTGAATCTACAGACACTGAGCAAATGGAGACTAATATTCGACGTTTTATTCCTAAGTAAAATAGCCAAGAATATTGTTCGCTGTTTTAACGTGATACGGCAGTTCTCTCTTAACGTTCCTTGAAGGTGTCTTGGAAATAATAATTTGTTTCAGGTTAATCGACATCGCGCAATTTATGGTTATTGTCGTTGTTTTAATCGCGTACTAGATTGTACCAACTAATTTCATGTGGAAACAGATTTATTTTGGCGAACCATAGTCTCCTTAAAACACTCGCTGGAACGTGTACTTTAATCTATATATATGTACACAATATTTAACTGCAACCTTCTCTTGCTTTGTCGTCTTATATGCCAAAGAGTTTATTGTCATTTCTCGTTTAAATAAATGAATAAATGAATAAATAATTGGAGACCTGCTGTTACATGAACTCCAATTATATAAACTGTTCGTCTTCCAAACAAGTTCAGATAAGTGGATTTCTATCATATGTTATGTATGTATGTATGTTAGTGATTCGTTCGTACATTATATTATGTTTGCAATGACTGTAAAAAGTACTTGTACGGAATTGTATTTGTTATACACAGCAGTACATACCAACTAACTAGATTCAGGTATTTTAAATATCGTATCATTTAATGGTATTTTAATACAATTACAAAAATTTGATATTACAGAAATGGAATGTAGAAGCCGATAAAAAGACAGTTTCATTGGAGAATGAGGTTATGCGCAAATATTTTCACAGCCACTGTACATATGAAAAACTTATCGTCGATGAAATTATCGGAATGTAATAAAACATTGTATTTTTAATTAAAATCATAGATACTAATTAATTCATACGTGATATCGCACTTAATACGAAACGCCGCAATGTCTCGGCAAGTAACCGACAAAATCGATCTGCAAGAGCAAAAGATTTCACTTGAGAAACTATCTTTGATCGTTGCGTTAAAATAGTACAATTTTTTAATGCAGGTAAATTAAAAAATGCGTGTTTTTTCATTAAACACATTTGTTTTCGAGCCTTTTGAGAGAGAAGATTTTTCCTGTTAAATTTATTCTCTTCTTAGCATAATTATCATTTTTTTGCCTAAATACGTTCCTATCTAATACGGAACACATTGAATGTACGTAACGTATGGAACATGGCAATGATACCGCTACCGATGACGATGACGATAGATAAAAGATGCGATGAATAATGAAAATTTGATTTATTATATTTATTTGCTTATTTGTCTTTCCTATTTAGGGGAGATATTAATTTTTTACGGTAAAAGTAAAGTTTCCTAAAATTTATTTACAAGTTTCCTAGGTGTTCCATATTACCATTTTTTTAACTCGCCGCATTTAACTTTTTTAAATTATCTTTTACCATGACTTTTGCATAGTTAAAGGCAGATGGACGCGTAACAACAACAAAAGCAAATGACTTTTACGAATTTTTTTAGGCTATCTGCTAGTTGTATCAGTGCACATCTGACTTTTCCTATTTCGATTCTTCTTGCTGTGTATTAACGTTTTTGAGTTAGTCTGCACGATAACTAAAAAGCTAATCGATCAATCAATTTCGGACAAAACTTGTTCGCTTTGTAATAAATTTCCCCAGGGACTGAGCCATAAATTTCTATTTGATTATTTGTTTATAACATTTCTTGGAACGACGTCTGCCGAAAGAACTAAACTTTTCTTCCAAACGATAAAACATTGCAATTGTAGCGGCACGCAATTTTGTCAAAGCAAAATTTCAACCGGCAGAGACTCACATTTGTGGCAGATCGGTATCAATAGGACGCCGACAGGTCGAGCCGCGGGTACCAACCGCCAACACTAGAGGGCTACGACGACAACGAGTCTGTCTATCTAACTCGCTAGCGGTCGAATATACGAGCGATTGATACAAATACCGCATCTAGCAAGACTCCCTCTACGTCTAAGGCAGGGACTATCGGGCATAGCCTTACTGACGAGTCCACCGGTAGTCCTGGGACGAAACGCAAACTCTCTTTTCATCAGCCACACATTATTGTGCCTTGGAATGCTAACGTTGTTTTGGTTTGCTAGATGTCTAAAGGTTAATCAAACTCCATCATTTGTAATCGTCAACCGGAGTTACATTTGAACCTTTTATAATAATTAGACCTTTTGTAATAAATAGACGAACGTGCTCTCTAGGAGTCATATAGTCGAATAGTTAGTCGAATAGCGAGCGCATAGTTGGACAGCAACACTAAACGATTACAACCGGTATACGCTATTTCTGTACTTGTACTTAAAGTGATTTTAATATAATCGACTATTATTAGGTCATCCCATAAGTTCGTGCCGACTTTTGTGTATACATTTCATGTGTCGATTTATAAACATACGGCGATAAGGGACCAATGCACTTGAGCTTAGCTGATCGAGAACAAAATAGAGCAGATTTTCGTGGGTATAAGATCGTAATATAGCGAACACAGTGACTTCTAACAGTAAAAAATCATGAGTGAAATGCGTATCCATTTTCGACATCTCGTGTTATATGAATTTCGGGAAGGAAGTTCTGTAACAATTTCCACGAAAAACATACGTGCTGTTTACGGAGAAAATGCGCTTTCATCTCGCACCTGTAGGAAGTGGTTCCAACGTTTTAGAGCTGGGAATTTCTGTTTAGAAGACGAGCAACGCTCCGGGCGTCCTCCTCGGACAGACGAAGATAAAATTCGGGATCTTGTTGAAAAATCACGAAGTTTGACAGTTCGAGAGATGTCGAATGTTCTGAAAATACCTAAGACAACGATTCATAGGTGTTTAAAAAAAATAACATATATAACCTTATGGGATGACCTAATACAATTTTATCACTCGCCTCTTTAATAAACCAACACGTTTAATATCTCCACCTCACAATTTTTCACGTGTTTCTTTTGAGAATAGGTTCGATCCTATCGTAAACTATGTAGCTTGAAACCAACAATAGTTACGCTGTCGAAGATGATCAACAAGACTTGTATGATATACGATAAACAATTAACCGAAACAAAAGAATTACATTTGTACCTCACGACTATCTATTTACATGTCAAAAAGGTCTAGTTCCACACAACTAGTACAGCTAGTCTAAAAAAAAAATTCACAGAAATCAATTGCTCTTATCGTCGTTACACGAGAATCCCATCTAACCACCAAAGTTAATATCCACATATTAATTTCATCTTGTTTCAACGTTAATTCGATCGAACGAGAAAGACACCGTTCCCTTTTTTCGCAAAGCTTTTAAGGTCCATCGATCTTCAACTATCTACTAAAAAAAAAAAAAAAAAAAAAAAAAAAAAAAAAAAAAAAGACACTTGTAAGAAAAATAATAAATAATAACCAATTCGAAAAGATCGTCTGGTTAACCCATAAAATGGAAGAGGAAGTAAAACACAGGAAGTGAAACTGTAGGAAAAAAGGGGAATGAAGCTCAGCGGACGCAGAATTTGATATTTATGGCACAAGTGGAATTAGCTCGCGACTTTAAAAGGAAAAGATTAAGGCGATGCCTTTCTCTGTTCCTTTTTTCTTCTTTCGTTTCCTTTTTCTTCCTTTTTTTTTTTTTTTTTGGTTACTCATTTTTCTCTTTCAATCGATTCGAGTGAAAACCAAAAGGACACGCTTGTTTATAAACGAGTTCCAGCTGTACGGATGCTCCTCGTGCACCGATTCGATTTTGTTTCGAGCTTACTGTCAGATCGGTCAGGTAGTCCGACTCCGTATTACGTTACCAACGACGCTCGCTCGAGTGCATTCGCTCGCGTTGGTGGCTGCACGTCACCTGACTTTAACTTTGTTTTAAATTAATTAACCCTGAGGTGTCGGGTGGACGCGGCCTCGCGATGTCCCGCGCACCCAACACGGGAAAACGCGTTCTTCCCTCTCGAGATTTCGCCCGGAACTCGCCAGAGATTGCGAAACGTTTCCTCTCGAAAAATAATCGAATTGACTACGCGATAAAACTATGAGAATTTCATCAGCGACATATCAGATGCTTTAAGGCGAAAGATTCTTTTTTTAACTTAATTTAGATAAATAAATTCGCGGAAATTTACTTCTATTTCGATAATAACGCGTGGCGTTTGCATTTGTTTTTTGAAAATCAATAACTTGGGACTGCTTTTGTCTCGGGAATTGGACGATTTAAATTTGATCGATCGTTTTCAAAGGGAATATTTTCCAGCCAATATTTCGACTCTAAACATTTCTAAGGTTTCTTGGAATCGTGTAACTTTCATTTCTAGAATGGTCGAATTAAAATTCTCGGAATTCGTAAGAAGAAGCCCGTACTTCCGCTGGTTGTTTTTCAATTTCCTAAAGAAACTCGATTTTCCTCGTTTATTTCGCACGTTTGCCACCTGACCTAATGATACATCTGTCTCGGTCGTGATATACTGAATTGATAGTGAATAGGTAATTTAGGATTTAGAAAAAGTTCCGATTTATGGAAATTCTGTTGGATGGTAAATTTGACGAGAGGTGTTCGATGTTATCATTACGCAGGAAACGTTGCTCGTTTCGCCATGGTGCATCCAGATAAATATCACTTGATTCTCGTTGGTAGAAGAAACCGCGTTTTTCTTTCAGTAGGGTAGCAAGAGACGAGAGGGAAAAGGCAGATGCGCCTGTCCGGAAAGGAGAATAGCCTCGCATTGGTCCATCCGCCGTTTCCATGGACGCGAATCATCGATCTGTTCGCCGTTGACGTTTGTTTCCGGTACGGAGCATGCTCCAATGGAACTCGGTCTCCCCACGTCCCAACGTTTTATTATTCGTAGCAGAGGTATTTCGAGCGAAAGAAATCATTAAGCTATCCAATATTTCCTTTTCTTTTACTTCCACCTATGTCCAATTTATTCGACGTAGTATAAAAAACGTCTTTTATAATATGTAAGTCTTTTTACATCGCTTTTTAAGTTTCTTCCATCCGCGACCTCGTTTCGCCATTTTCACCGAAAATTTTACGCCACTTCTTTTGTATACAGGGTGGTGGTACAAGCGGAAAGGGGGTGATTCTACGCGAAAAAAGAAGTCGAAAATATAGAATAAAAATTTCTTTTAATTTTTCCATCGAGACAACGATCTACAATGTGATCCGTTATAACCGCAGGTGTACCGAGCGAAAATTCAAAGTCGATTTTCTCGAAAACGAAGCCTCGAACGAAAAATTGTTATTCTATATTTTCGACTTCTTTTTTC